TTTTTGTCCAAACCAACCGCACATGCAGATGGGGCGCCCGCCCATGGTATTTAAAGAAGAAATGTCTATGTGTACAGATGAATGATAAACTCTCTAGCTCTCCCTCTGCCCACTCTCCAGGCGCCGGCGGGCGGGCCGGTTTCGAAGTTGATGCAATCGGTTTAAACATGGCTGAACGCGTGTGTACACGGGACTGACGCAACCCACGTGTAACTGTCAGCCGGGCCCTGAGTAATCGCTTAAAGATGTTCCTACCGGGTTGTTGCTGTTGATGTTGTTTTTGTCGTTGTTTTTTTGGTCTTTTTTTTGTATTATAAAAAAATAATCTATTTCTATGAGAAAAGAGGCGTCTGTATATTTGGGAATCTTTTCCGTTTCAAGCATTAAGAACACTTTTAATAAACTTTTTTTTTTGAGAATGGTTAAAACCTTTTGGGGGCAGTAGTTGGCTTTTGATTATTTTGGATTTCTATGATTTCATTTTTGCTCTGGTGCGGGGGGCTGTGCATGGGGGGGCTGCTAATACTTTTGGCTTTTTTGGTGGTTGGGTGGGGGTGTTGCCGCTGGTTTTTCTCCTTCTCTACTCCCCTCAAGGCCTATGCTTAGAGATGGGGGTACCAGACCTGGGAGGGAGGGGTAGAAGAGTGCTGGGTCAGGCTTTCAGGGTGACTTAGGGTCCCTGGGTGCTGGGAAGGAGTGGCTGGGAACCTGGCGTGGGGAGAGTTCCAAGGCCTCTGGCAGGTCTTGAGTGCCAGGCTTGGATTTGGAGGGGCCTCGAGGTCTGTGACCCCTGCACAATGTTTAAGAGCCTGTGACTGATGGCGGTGGGGGTGGGGTGGGGGGGGGTACAGGTCTTGGTCCTGCTGAGCCCAAGTTGGGGCAGATTCTTTTGGTAAGTGTAGTGGGGGGGGCTGTTTAGAAAAGTTTGTGTGTGTGTATATATTCTAAGAGAGGAGGCTGGGTGTGTGGGCGAGCTTGTGTTTGTGTGTCCCTGGCCAGTTTGGGTGTCCCTGGCCAGCAGGAGGGGAGAAGCTGAGCCAGATGAGGGAAGTCAGGGGGAGGGGAGTGTTCCTGCACTTCCACTCCCTTTCTGGAGGATGAGAGATTTACCACTTGCCCTCTTTGCCCAGATGTGGACACCGAGGCCCAGCCTCACCTGCTTGTTCAAGGTGGCCGAGCCTAGGTTTGAACTTGGGGCCCCTGTTCCTGATTCCCTGGGACAGAAACGGCCCCTGGCAAGGTGTCTGCGTCCCTGCCCCCTGTTAACCTCCCGCCCCTCTGCACTGCACCCACATCCCCATTCCAGCCCTGA